TGGTAATTTTATCAAAAAAAGAGATCAGATTTGCCTGGCATGACCTGTGAGCTGGGAGGTATTGATTCCAGAGCTTGTACATGTTAGTTTTGGAACTGCATCTTCCTGAATCCTGCAGCCAGCTTTCCTAGAGTCCATGCTGGATTCTGGGTGCTACCCCCCAAAAGTAATATTTCAAGCTCTGGTTGATTTTTGACAGGCAATACATGTGTGTGTGTGTGTGTGTGTGTGTGTGTGTCCAAGTGAATCTTCTCCAATAATTCATTTGAATATGAGTAGGGGGTTCCAAGTGAGTGGAAACTCTGCTCTGACAGGATTCTGATAAACTCTAATCACTTTCATAAAAATGCTTCTAGAAGAATTCTGGAAGAATTGTGGTGACCCTATGAGTGAGAGACCTTCAAGTTATCCTGTCACCAACAAACCTGCTCAGATCTTGCATATTCAGGGTCATGTAATGCAGTCTTCCTCTTTTCTTACTGCCTTCTATCTTACAAAGCATTATTGTCTTTTCTAGTGAGTCATGTCTTCTCATGATATGGCCAAAGTACAACAGTCTCAGTTTAGTCATCTTGCCTTCTAAGGAGAGTTCATGATTCATTTGTTCTAGGAGTCATTTATTTGTCTTTTTAGCAGTCCATGGTAGCAATAGCATTTACATTTCTGTATCACTTATCTGTGAATTCAGCATTCTCTAAGCAGTCTACAGTCTGTAAGTCAATTGCCTCCAGCAAGCTAGGTACTCACTCACTTTACTCACCTACGAAAGGATGGAAGGCTGAGTTAACCTTAGAGCCCTGGGATCGAACTCATAACCCTGTGGCTGCAGTACTGGCATTTAACCACTGCACCACCAAGGCAGTATCCATTGAACTACATTTTACCACGTTTCAAATTAATTGATTTTTCAAATGAATCACTCTAGCACCACATTTCAAATGAATTGATTTTCCTCCTATCAGCTTTCTTCACTGTCCAGCTTTCAGATCCATACAACAGTGACATGGATTATCCTAGCCTAAGGCAGCTAGAGGAACATATGCATGGCATGGGGTTGGACTGGATGGCCCCATGATTTCTTCCAACTCTATGATTTTAATGTTAGTTAAAGGTAAAGGTAAAGGTATTCCCCATTGACAAGGTTGTCAAGTTGTGTCCTACCATGGAGGGTGTGTGTGTCGCTCATCTCCATTACTAAGCCAAAGAGCCAGCGTTGTCAGGGGAGGGGGATACATTGTTTATATTGGTTTTTAGACTTTATGTTGTATTTGAATTGTTTTAACTTGTAAGCTGCCCGGATTGGACTACCATTGGGCGGGGTATAAATAAATTTTATTATTATTATTATTATTATTACTCTGTGATCATGTGGCCAGCATGATTACACAGAACGCTGTTTACCTTCCCACTGAGAAGTAATACCTATTTATCTAAAGCAAAGCAGCTTAATTTTTATATACTGCTTCATATCACGCTATGGGATGTCTAAGTGGTTTACAACTGTAAGCTCATTGCCCCCCAACAGTTGGGTACTCATTTTAGCAACCTCAGAAGGATGCAGGCCTGAGTCTAGCCTGAGCCCTGGCTAGTATTGAACTCGCAACCTTGTGATCTATGAGTGAGTGGCTGCAGTACAGGCATTTAGCCACTGCACCAACAGGACTCTTGCATTTGCATGCTTTCAAACTGCTATTTAATGTTAGTATTCAATGATATATCTTTACACTGTCTTGTCTTGTTCCTTCCAAGACCTTACCTTTTTCTGATTTCTGGACTGCAGTCTCAGGTAATGACTGAGATCAAGTATGGAAAATCTGTAACTATGGGCCTGTACAGATTGTCAGAAATAACCCAGCTTGAGGCCACTTTTACTGTCTTGGCTCAGTGCTAGGGAATCATGGGAACTGTAGTTTGTTGAGGCACCAGAGCTCTCTGATAGAGAAGGCTCAATATCTCAGGAAAAACTACGATTCCCATAATCCCCTAGCACTTAGCCAGGGCAGTTAAAGTGGCCTCAAGCTGGATTATTTCTGGCAGTCTGTAGAGGCCCTATGTCACTGTCTTCATTGTCAAAAGTTAAATTATCTCTGGTCATTCCCCTTCCCCCAGATCCAACATGAAATCTGCTGTTTTACTTTCTTCCTTAACTTTCTTCAGTAATTTGTGGCATGATGTCATCTTCATATCTGCTACTCTTTTGAAGGGAAACATCTGAACATTCTCCTGATGGCATGATGTAGCTGTTTCTGTATATGTCTATATGCATACAGCTCCAAAATTCATACCCCCAGTTATCCGAGCGAGAGTCTGGTGAAAGTAAAGTTGGGGAAGACTTCTACATGAAATAGCTTTCAAACACACACTTTTTTTGCCACAGAAAGTTTGCTTCTTTGGACAAATACATTCACAATCATCCAATCAAAATAACCACTGGGGAATTCTGTGCTGGAGGGTTCTGACTATGGAATTTGGGGAGCTATAGACAGAAAATAAATTTAATCAAGGACCAGTGATATCTCCATCCTCTTGGACTGAAGATGTATCCTTCACCACTTGTCTGGCTTGCATGAGTGCCTTCCCAGAATCATCTTTGCCCTAGGAGAGTGTACCACCTGGTGAACATAATTTGAGACAGAGGCTTAAAAACCATGTGTTTCACTCTTAGAATGTAGAACTTGAGACACCCCTCTTTGTGAAGGACTAAAAGTAAGCAAAATAATAATAATAATAATAATAATAATAATAATAATAATAATAATAATAATAATAATAATAATAATAATATTTTTTTGCATACAATCCCAAATTTGGTGTGTGGAACATTTTCCTAAAATGTCTAGTATACATTTCACTGCTATCACTGCCTGTTTCCAGGTCCTGCTGGCTGTAGGGACTAAGGAGGGTTGCAGACTTCCAGAAATAGTGCAAATTGAGTCCACTTTTAGGGTTAGGGTTAGTGCTAGGGAATCATGGGAATTGTTTCTTTTCTGAGACATTGAGCCTTCTCTGTCAGAGAGCTCTGGTGCCACAATAAAATACAGTTCCCATGATTCCCTAGCACTAACCCTAACCCTAAAAGTGGACTCAATTTGCACTATTTATGGCAGTCTGCAACCCCCCTAATTTCTTTAACCACTTGCATTTCTGTATTATACAACCCACTCAGCGCCATTATCCAGAATGAGCTAGCTACCTCAAGCAGCAGATTTAAAAGGGAGCAGAGAGTGGCAGCGAGGTGCTGGAGGATACAGCCATACAAATTCCATGTGGTATATCCTT